GACATATTATTCACTCACATACAATCTAATCAAACACAATAACACTTTATTAATAATGATGCCAATATAACAATATTTGACTGATTTATTTTTATTAATTGGTATATATAAATATAATTTAAATATATAACATATAATTATAGTATTTATTATATAAATGAAATTAATGTATAACATTATATATATATATATTTATATATATATATATATATATATATATATATATATATATATTTTTTTTTTTTTTTTTTTTCATTGGTACTCAGTAAAACATTTTTATTAATTCATTTATTTTTATTTTATTCATCAATTTTCTTTTCGGCTTAGTCCCTTTATTAATATCTAATACATAATAGATCACTAACAAAACTTTCATAGGTACAATCACGCACAACTGAAACACGCAAACAAGACTATTTTGGTAAATATGGAGCAACTGGGGTCGAGAGAAATGAGCTGACATTATTTTAGGCCGACACATAATGTTTTTTGCAGCACAAATTGTGAGCAAACGAAAATAATAAATTCATGCACGAATATAAATATCTGATGTTTATTTCAACGGCACAAAGCAGCACAAATCTAACCAATATTTTAGTTATTTCTATAGATATACATAAACAACGAAAACAAAACAAACAGCACAAACCAATATGACACCTGTTTTGTGCGATTTAAGCCTAGTTCACACTACAGGATTTTAAACATCAGCAGATCTCTGTGCCGTTCACACTACATGACTTGACTTTGTGTCTTTTAATCTCTGTGGTGTTCACACTACGCAACACTCCGTGAATGATCCACATGAGGGGGGTCACACACTACATGATCTGACAACAACTCATCCCCCATCAGCTCATTCAAGCTACCAAACCACAGCCAATGAAAATTTGAGGGAGGAGTCGTCAGAAACAGCTGAACACTATTGGCTGCTTGTGTGCTGATGACATCACTGACAGCGTTTCAAGCTTTGGAGAAAGCATTTAAAAACATCGTCAAAACAGCTGATTTATCAGCGCATTAATCACTCATCTGCAAGGTTTGAGTGGATAGATACACAGAGAGTTTTTAATTTTTTTAATTTTATAACTCTTTGTAATAAAACTAACATATTTATAACACCCTGCCGCTTTCTAACTATCAGTGTATTTCTTTCTGACATTGTTATTTTTTTTTATTACAAAACAGTAAAGAACTGAGCATTTCTGCCTTAAATTACCATATTGGTCAAAATGACTGCATGCATGTCTGATACTTTTCACTGTGACTTTAAATATGTGTGCATTTTCTTGCCTGGCAACTTCCTGCTAACATAAACAAAACTTTCTGATGGCAAAAACATCAATTTACTTCAGATATCTTTCAAAACAGCAGATTCTGTGCTGTTAAATAGCTCCTGTTTGAAAGTGAAAATGAAAGCCAAGACCTTTAAGTGTTTTAGTATCTTAACTACATATTTATAGGCTGAATTACCAAAAAAAGATGATATTTTTAGGGTAATGGTGTCATTAAATATGATGCCAGACATTCAAAGCTTAATTTTAATATCTCAATAATAGCTCTGAATGTAAATATGTTGTGACAGTATGGCGTTTTATATGAGAATAGTCAATATATCCTACTCTCATGCCTGTGTTAACACAGAATGAAGCGAGTGCACCGATGCCCATTCTGACCAATCACAGATGTTTCTGCTGAGCTCCTGAACACACAGGCGTTCAGCTCATGCTGATCTGCTCTCTCATTGGCTGCAGCTCGTCACTACATCTGACCACACGTGGGGTTGAGTCGGCCGACTGCTCTGAAATATTTAGCATGCTGAATGTTGGATTTCCGTCTGCGAGGTGTCGGCGACGCGTCAGCAAGCCTCGTGGATGCGTTGTTCAGTAGTTCACACATAAAGAGCGGCGAGCGCCCGCAGATTTCTTCCCGATCACAGCCCGATCTGTCGGCGAGCTCGTTAACTTCCAAATCGGCCTCAAATCAGGCTTAAAATCCTCTAGTGTGAACTAGGCATTAGGGCGCAGAGTGACGTCGCGGCTCCCGAAGTGTTTTGATTAAGCAATATCTAATCAATAAAAACAGATACGGTGTTTATTTTAATGGCACAAACCTGCACAAATCCAGCACAAACGAATGACACCAGTTTGGTGTGATTCAGACAACCTGGGGTGGAGAGTGACATCATGGCTCCCGAAACATTTTAATTATATCTAAACAACGAAAATAGATAAAGTGTTTGTTTTAACGGCACAAACCAGCACAATTCGGGCACGAACGAATGACACCAGTTTGGTGTGATTTAGACAACCTGGGGTGGAGAGTGACGTCACGGCTCCCGAAATATTTTGCTTATATCTAACCGAGGAGAACAGATACCGTGTTTGTTTTAACGGCACAATCGAGTACAAACGACCTGTGCTGATTTGAAGTCATTTGTGCAACATGGGGTGGAGAGTGACGTCACACGGTCAAAAAAATAATGCTTAATATCTCAGACCCCAAACCAGCACAAACGTTCGCTTTTTTGGCACAAGCGTAGCACAAACGAATGGCATGGTTATAGGGATTTTTTTTTTTTATCGAATGCTAACTTCACGGAGGTGTAGATTTGTCCAGCTGTGGGGTTTTGGAGGTGTCTGCATCAGCATATGTGGATAAGAACAGGACGTGTGTTTGGAAATAACTCAGTTTTCTGACCACACTTCATTATTATTGTTCATTTACTCCTCTGCTGGAGATCAGAACTGAATCTAGAAATAGTTCAGACACAAATCTCTGCTCTTAACAAAGGAGATTAAACATGTGGGCTGATGGAGGTGTTCAGTGGAGTTAGTTTCCACCGTTTCCTCTCTCCTCCAAAGTAAAGGAGTAAAGTAAAGGAGTAAAGTAAAGGAGTAAAGTAAAGGAGTAAAGTAAAGGAGTAAAGTAAAGCGGCTGAATGGAGGAGGCTCGTTCTTTATCCTCGCGCTGCAGATGCTCTGTTTAACTGTTTTCTCGCTGGTGAAGCGCTCAGTTTTTACACTTATAAAGTCGCCATGTAAATATTAAATGCACCATGGAGCGACACAACTGACTCTTAAAGGGAATGAGAGACAAGACTCTGATTGGTTTAATGCAGGTTATGCTCAAAACACACCCAGAACTCATAAGAGAATCAGCACAGCCCTGTTAGACCATGCGCCAGGTGCAGAGCGGATTTCTCCATCCTACAATAGCAAAAGTAGATTCAGACACGCTC